CCCAGAGCCAGTCCGACGGCGACAAGGAGAGGGACAGGGAGCGCAGCCAAAGGAGCATGAGCATCGCCACGGGGTGCTGGGGCCGGAGCGCGGCGGCCCGCCTGGAGTCTGGCCTCCTGGGGCAGAAATAGCCAGGCCAGAGCCCAGCGACAGTCAGCTGTAGCCACCGGAGAAGAAAACGAAAAAGGGAAGAGGGACGAGGCCGGCGTTACGCGCTGGAAGGGTAAATATGGTGCTACTCTAATAACATCGTGGTGTTGCAGCAGGAGACGGGATGTTTCCCACGCGGAACATGCAGGCCTTGCAGCGGGAGCGGCGCGAGTGTGCAGCAGGAGCCCCAGGAACAGCTGGAAACCAAGGAGGGAACAGTCTCCCGGTCAGGATCGCGCGCTCTCCTGCCTCCTTCTCTTATCCAGGTTTAGTGACTGTAAATACCTGTGCCTCCTCGCCTCGTTAGCCATCGCTCCGACACGCGGCACCGGGGCCGTCCCCAGAGCCGCAGGAACGGGGTGAGGCTGCGGGATCTTGCTCTTGGCTGTCCCGGGTCGGGCCCTGCCGTGGGTTTGGGCCCGGGAAGATGCGCGTTCCCGGCACGGAGAGCCCTGCTCGAGGGGCCTGTCCTGGGCTGTGCCAGGCGGAGCACCCGCGGGCCTGACCTGTACAAAGAGCTTCGAGTTGAGCCGCTTTCTGCAGGAGCACGTGCAGGGGCAGAGCACAGGGACGGCGGCGCGGGTGGTAGGGGCAGCATTTCAGCAGATTCACGTCCAAGGAAGTGGGGTCGTTATTGTTATTACTGTTATTTTTATAAAGAGACATTTTAGAAGCTGATGGAATTTAATGCATTGACCTATTAAAAGAAGAATACAAGCTATTTTGATCAAGCTGTTACAAACCTCAGACACTTACTTTACTGTCTGCTAAAAGTCTCCAAATTCTATTGCTATATGTTATTTCCCAAAGTAACCACCATACATTTGCAAGCAGCTGAAGACACTCAGCGGCTGGATTGCGTAACAGTTCTCATCCAGGTGCAGGGTCTGACTATTTCAACACCCACATCCGAAACATTTCCTTCTTCCCAGGTTGTCTCCAAGTTCAGTAGCAGCTTTCATGGGAATTAGACTTGCTTCTTTTACCGGTAGTAGTTACTGAACTGTAAAACCTCATTGTTTTTGCACTGATAATTTTTAGAATGGAAACCTGTTACCATCTCATGTAGCTGCACCTACCTTTGTAGTGCATGACAATGAAATATTGCTAAGCCAGAGCGTGTATATGTATACATATATACACACACATATATATGTAGTATATATATACACATATATATATATAAAATATATAAATTTTCTGTGCAGAAGTTTTTCCAGCAGTAAGGAGACTGTAAGGAGGCAAGGCAGCAGTCGGGCAAGCTTAAGAAAAGGCCAAATCTCAGTTTTCCTGACGCGTTTGCAGCGGCTGTGCCCGAGCTGGCGGTCAGGGCCGGGCTGGGGCGGGAGCCGAGAGCCGGCGCTTCCCGGAGAGCTCCCGGATCCCGGTGCTGGGCCCGCTGCCCGTCCCGCACGTGGCTTCCAGGGCTCGGGATCGTCCACCCTGGAGGTCCAGGGATGTTGCAGACTCCAGCCCGCCTGCGTCCGTGAAGATTTTCTAGTCCTACCGAGCTGCCCGACGTAGTGCTTTCCTCTGGCACAGGATCCTGTCTTTATACCACTTTCTACTTAGGAGGATCTTGTTTATAACAGATTTTTTAGACCGGCTGCTTGGTTTTATTACCCGCTTGGCTGCGGAGCGCGGGCGGCCGCACCGAGACGGGCAGCACTGTGAGCGCCGCTCCGCTCCCGGCCCCGGCGGGATCTCCCGGACGCCGCGGACAGGGCTCACGTGTCCGTCAGCTCGAGGCCACAGCGGCTCCCAGCTCCAGCAGCCCAGCGGTGACTTGGCCACTTGAGTAATTATCCGATTCCAAAACACACCCGAGGATTTTCCTTACTGAAAACCAACTTCCCTTTGTGCCAGCTCAGCTTAGCTCTCTTTGAATGTATAGCCAGAGCTTTCTGGGTTCAGAACCAAGGGGAATTGTCCCAGCTTTCTACTAGTCAAACGCTGGATTGAGCACTTGCCATCGGAGTAGGAGGCCAAGCCACAATCCGTCCCACAGAGTCACCCAACCACGTCACGAAGTAATTTCTGCAAATTTGGATATGGCCTTCACAAAATTCAACCTTCCTCTGAAAGAAGAGTCCGCAGCAAGGTGTGATCTGCACATTTTCCAGTGCTGATGAGACGGATGTTCACATTTTCTTATGTGTAGATAGTGTAAAACAAAACGGGCGAATGTAAATGTTCAACATAAAGTGGATATATAAATTGAAAGTTATTTATTTTATGTAGAGGAAAAAGATGTCTGGAGGGACTGGAACCTTCAGGGTTTATTAATATTTAAAAATGTAGCTTTTTTTGTTTCAGGCATTATGTACAAAGCAATTATTTTATGGACCAAGTTTAATGTAACTGTCACTGAATGCAGAAGTGCAATATTACTCTCACCTCTCCATCACTCCGTGTTTCGGCAGATACTAACCAGTCAGCCTGACAATCACAGCACCTCCATCTGCATCCTCTGTTGAGCTCCTTGAAGCTTCCCCAGGCCCCTTCTTTGCGCCCCGGTCTGTTGCCATTGTACAATCCAACACGGAGAAGCAACTGTAGAGCAGGACCTTTATCGCTGCAATAAACCAGGTGACGTGGGTGTAGGCAGCAGGAAGATGCCCGGGGGGTTTCTCCACCTCTTTGGTCCATCCCAGTCTCCATCAGTCTCTCTTCAGCCACCTGGCACTCACCTACCCGAAGCAAAGATCAACGTACCACGCACTCGAAGAACAATAGCAATAGTTCAACTCCTTGTGTTTGTAACCCGTTCGTTCCGACGCGCTGGGGAGAGCGATGCACGCGACGCGCTGCCTTTCTGAGCGCGCGAGGAGCGGCCAGACACGGTGAGGGCGACATGAATGTACATCCACCTGTGCTGAAGGGGCACTGTCAGGTCAAAGACCTAGTTTATCTTTGTTACAAATAACTTGTTTGCTCTGAACTGAAAGACTATTAAAAGTTTCTCATACCCCTCTGTACGGCTGGTGTCTGGGTAGCCGGCAGGGCGGCCGCTGGCAGTGCTGGTTTGGGGTTGTTGGTTTTGTTTCATTATTTTTTTTTCCAGTTATTTATATGGGAATCAAATTCCTCTACGGAACTCAGTTTTTTTTTTTTTGAATACATAAAGCTGCTTTATTAATTAAAAGATCAAGCGAGAATTCTTACCTGACGCTGTCTCTTTAAAGCCTTTTCCAAAGCGGAACAAAACGGCCCTTGTGCATTCGCATCACATTGTTTTTCCTGGATTTGCTCGCCCCGTCAGAGGAGGCAAAATTCAAATACCAAAAATGTTTACAGCGTCCAACGCGCGAGCCGAGCGCAGCGCCCGGCCCGGCCGCTGCAGCAGCCCCTTCAGGTAGCGCCGCCGGCCGCTGCGGCTCCTCCTAGTGCTAGAAGCCTTACGGTCCCTTCCTGCCCTCGGCACCCTCTGCCTCTTGAGATCCTTGACTGTCCGTTTTATATTCTATGATGTTAGTTATCATTTGTTTATAAAAAAAACTGCTTTTGGGGTCCCCGAGGGGTGGAGGGAGCTGCGGGCCGTGTCCTGCGCCGTGTGGCCACTGCGCCTGTGTGTGACGGACCCTCCGCGTGCCTTCCTCCTCCTCCTCCTCGCTGTTCGTGCATCGTCCCCGCGCCTGCGTGTGCTTTGTGTCACTGTCGTTGTGCGTGTGCCTGCACCAATTAAAGACTTGGGAAGGCTGCTCTCTGTCTGCTTATTGGGGAGATGCCAGAAAGTCACAGAACGCCAGGCACGAGCAGGAGATGGTTTAATGGAGCCAAAGCAACGAAGAGACCCGGGAGATGCTTCATGCAGGCCAGTCCTGCAGGACACACTTCACCTTTAACCACCACCTTGCCTCCTTTTTTATAACATTTTCCAGGCTTACCATTTTCCCAGACGGAGGGGAGAAATAATAGTGTACACAGGGCTGCCATGGCTGCAGGGCACGTGTGGGAAGGGCAGATCCAGCAGGCCCAGGAGAGCGGATGCAGCGGCCGGCTC